GTATAACAAATAAATGATACCCTTGGATCGACATGTACATCTGATGTATTTGAAACTTCTAGTGTAACAAGCGACAAAAACACCTTTAACTAAACCGGGATTAACAAAAACTCGGTAATTACATTTTCTTAATTTGTAGTAAAACACCAGAAGTGAAAAACCCGACAATTCCAAAGTGAACGTTGTTTCACCAACAGAGAAGAATCATTTTGCATTAGGATAAAAGTTTGTTTGTTTGTTTGTTTTGGAATTTCGCGCAAAGCTACACGAGGGCTATCTGCACTAGCCGTCCCTAATTTAGCAGTGAAAGACTAGAGGGAAGGCAGCTAGTCATCACCACCCACCGCCAACTCTTGGGCTACTCTTTTACCAACGAATAGTGGGATTGACCGTCACATTATAACACCCCCATGGCTGAAAGGGCGAGCATGTTTGGTGGGATGCGGTTTCTAACCCGCGACCCTCAGATTGTGAGTCGAGCGCCTTATCCACCTGGCCATGCCGGGCAGGATAAAAGTAAAACATAGAGCGAAGAAGCCCGGATCTGATCCAATAAGCATCAATGTTTCATGATTTAATTTTATAAACCCCCCCCCCCAAAGAAAAAAATAATAAAAACGAAAAATACCAGTTTTATACGACGTGTTCAGTTGAAGTGTGGTTCGGATAACATTTCTTTTTTTCCTTAAAAAACCTTCCCCCCTCCCAGTGGCTTAGCGGTAAGCTTGGGGGGCTTAAATCGCTAAAACTTCTGGGTATTATGCCTGCACTGGGCACAGTGCAGATAGCCCATTATATACAGCTTTAAGTTTAAACAAATACAAAGTAAAAAAACATATATATCTACTGAGAAAACAATTACTGTACGGTCTGGATGAAATTTCTTTGGAGTAGCCGAGGATAAAAAATCAACAAAAAAAAAAACAAAGCGTTATGTAGAATTCAAAACAACATACCCCTCCCCCCAAAAAAAAATCTCCTAATGACATCATAGTAATTATAACACTAAATTATCCACGTGGATATTGTCCTCTATACTTATTTTCACGTACTAAAGATAATTACGTAAAAATGCTTCTTAAAAGAGGCACAAAATCATTTAGTCATCCCTAAAACGTCACGAATAATTTACAAAACCTATGCAAACGAAACTGTTTTTCCTTTAAAGGGACATACCTCGACTTCCTGTGGTTACACCCTTTACCTGACCCGTGGAAGTATCATGTTTACCTATCGTTGGTACACACCCACTTTTATTAGAAAATATAAACAAGTATTCATACATCCTTATACTGTCAAATAAGTGAGAAAAGAAAAGAAAAAAAAACGACAGATGGCGATAGTTCTCTGACGCCTGCGCAGTTCTTACTGTTAGAAACTTTTTAGGGTTAATTCATCTTAGGGTTAATGGACACATTTTAAGAGAGTTCGTGATAAGGGTGTGACGTAGAAGACTTGAATTAACGCATCAGTAAATATTGTTACTCTTATAACTTAAGAGTTGTCGTTGAATACGAGGCGTGCCCGTGATTCTGTACATGTCTATGTTTTGTAAGGTTGTGGGTCAGACGGCCATCTAGACTATATCGTAACCTATGGCCTTCGGATATTCTATTGTTATTAAGGTTTCTTTAAGTGTTTCTGTCCGCTACACTTAGTGCGCATGCTCTTTTTTTACCATTCTCAACTTTTTCTAACCCATGCAAATACCTTATTAGCCGCAAGGTATCTAGCTCGGGGACTCCCACCACACCATTGGCTAACCAGAACAGGTTTTTGCGGTATTCCGCACGCGCGATGGCCTAGTAATTGTTAGAGACTAGCGCAGCCTTGCGTAAGACTCGCGAGTTATATCTATGCGTTTATGCTACCGCTTTGCAAAACAAGTTGTTCTAACGTGAGGAGTGGAGATGAGTGCTCGTTGCACCGTTGATGGAAGTTATGCAGGAATCTGGCCTTTAAATGCCAGTACTTGAACATGCCGACATGATACCGTTAGACAGGAATTAACAACGAACCTTAGACGCGAAAGCAAGCCAGTTTTTCCTAGGACTGAGGTTGAATATAATCGATTTTTAGAAATTCGGGGTGATCTCGCACTATCGCCGAACATCTTCTAATTGTAGGAATTAGAATTGTACGTTTTTGTTTTTATTCTTGTACTTTGTTCGATTTACGTGTCGTCATTTTTTCTTTGTGCTTCAGTTACTGGATTGTGATTGCGAATTATATCACCAGACATGAAACTACTCGATGAAATATTTGAAGGAACTGCAGACTTTGTAGGTAAATCCCCTGTGGAAGGACCTTTGACGGAGGTGTCTCTACAGCGGTGCCTAAAATCGCTGCCCATGTTCTCGGAAGAGCTCCAATTAGAACAATTACATCCCACGTGGAACGTGCAATTTAATGGACAGTGTCTGACCGCTTCCTGCAACAAGCTAGGTTCCTACGAAATTCAGAGAGTGGATGTGAAAAATGTAGTACACTGTCATTTGCCGAAGGAATCTTCGAGAACAATAGTATGGGTGGTTACAGGCGTAGGTAGAGAAGAGGCAAAAGAAGCTTGGGTTTGGAGATGTGCAATGGAAAAGG